CTGAAACTATACTACATCCTAAATTAAATATACATTATATTACTGAGATTTAATGGTGTCCATTTAACATCACTTTCTGCTCTCTTCAAGGAAAAGTACAATCTTCTTAAAATAAAGATTTGACAATAGATTTTGATTTTTCGAAACCACGATGACCTTGATTGGACGATGCGCTCGATTCTGAAAATTGATTACGTTAACGTGTGCTACGTTCAAGTTATCTGATTAGTTAGAATTATGTAAACGCGCATATATCGGGCGGTTGCGTAATTCTCTCCATACCTAGATGCGGTCAAACACAATGTGGCAAGGCAAGGTTGCGAGACGGGGAAAACGATCGCATTGAACCGCTTACGAGCGATAACTAACAATTAGCGGACAACGCTATCTGCGTATTAGACTAAATTAGCTAACGGTACTACGGGTCCACGGTTCCGTAGACGTTCCATCGATTTGTTGATTTTTCATCTCGTGAATCCTTCTTGAAAAGCGTTAGATAATCCAATAATAATTCCTTGTAAGAATTCTATATACAGAACTCTCGTGCACGTGTTTAAAGATATTAGAAAAATAAGGAAAGAAATCTGGAAATACGCATTTTTTATCTCTTTATGCAGGTTTATCGAGAAAAGATGTCTCGAGATGATATACGAAGCTTTCACATAAAAAAAACAATTAAAGAAACCCGCGAATTTTTGCAGAAAGACGGTTGAGGAATATCGGAGGTGGACGTACACTTCTAGTCGTTAAACTGAAGGTCACTGAATTGTTGTAAATCGATGACGAAAACGTTGACTTCGAAAGAACAGCCACTTGATGATGCTCGTCGTGCTCGTCGAAAGAGTCGTGCCGAGAAAGAAAGAGGGAAAGAGGCGCGGTAACGCGTCGACATGCTCGCAAACCAGGAGGTAGAGGCACCTCCGGTAACCTTGATGAATTGCCAGTTGGGGGTCGAACAGGACGGTATAAAGGCTTTTGCTTTTCGAATCGGAAAGCAGATTCCTCGAGTTCTTCTCTCGCTTTGAGCAGCACACTCGATTCTAAACCGTACAACATGTTCAAACTGGTTTGTATCGCTCCCTAGCAATGTTATAATCATTTTGCATATAGCTGCCCAACTTGACTCTTAATAAAAATAATTATCATTACATATTCACAATTAGAATATTAATTAGAAACTATTATCATTCTGCATTTTTCACGCACGGAAGCAAAATGTACATAAAATGCTATCATTATAATTCTTGAAGGATTATTTCTTTCATATATTTTAGAAATATTTTTTCTTAAAAAAAAAAAGAGAAATAAAACTAAAGATATATAAATACAAAGCGACGATCTTTGGGTTTAACATGCGAACATATGTACGCGTCTTGCATTAAATCATCGCATATTTCTCGATTAATGTGTAAACCGACTGGTTCTTCTAGTGCATCTTCGTCGCTCTTCTGGCCGCCGTTTGTGCCGCACCCGCACCAGGAGCGGTCTTGGCGGCACCCGCGGCAATCGCCGCGGTACCGGCGCCAATCGTGACGGCCAGTAGCAGCCAGGTGATCGCCAGGAATTACAACACGCTCGCCGCGGCTCCGCTTGCAGCTCCTCTCGCAGCGGCCCCTCTGGCGGCGGCTCCACTCGCCTATGCCGCAGCACCCTACGCAGCCTACAGCACTCACGCTGTCGCACCCGCTGCGTACACCGCCTATTCCGCACCCGCTGCGTACACCGCCTATTCCGCACCCGCTGCGTACGCCGCCTATTCCGCACCCATTCTACTGTAATTCATCCTAAGCTCCGACCGGACAGTCTACATATGGATCTCCACGGCCAAATCTAATTTGATGAACGATACGTCGTTTGCGATGGGGCTGAAACCCTTATTGCGACATGTTAAGTTTGTGCAATAATAAACCTCAATAAATTCAACTTTTCCACTCAAATTCTTGTTATGTATTCACTACCTACACCTCCTTGCAATTTACGCGAAAAAAATGTTTTCTCATTATTGTATAACTGTACAATGCTGAGAAAAGTTGTAGAATATAATTCATTATGATATTCGCACCATCGCGAAATTCAGTTTGCGCGAAATCGTGCGCTTCCAATATCAAGAACTTAGTTCCTAAATTTACATATTTGAGTTAACAGTTTCACTCTGTTTTACTGTCTGTTTTACTTCTCCTGCGCGATAAAATCTGCTATGCGAAAAGCGACAAGTTTAATAAGTATATGTTAACTATCTTATTGAACAATAATTACAATAATTATATCTTTAATATTTATTATGATAACCGCTTACGAATTTATGTTATTTAATTCCACAGAATCCTGTTATTACAACGCTACGATATTATTAGTGGTTTTTATCAGATTGAAATATGTATCATTATTATTATTACATAATCCATATAAATTAAGTCTGAAGGTAAATTAATACTTTTCAGAGTACAGACAAATCTTATCTCTGGAAATAACGCCCACTAAAAGATAATTGTGCAATTCGATTATTCTCCCCGCTCTCCGAGGACCTCTTTGACTCGGAGCGAAGTGAAGGAAAGCGAGCGCGTATGTACGTGATATGAGTTTAATTCGTTTAACACAAGAGGATAGCGCCCGGGGCAGTTTACGTCACGGCGTAATCAAGGAAATAAAAGCAAATGCGAAGGAAGAGAGCGAGAGGCTCGCTCGCCCGACCGAGATCGTCGCGTGGCCTCTGCTAGTACAATTTTCTCAATACGGTCCTGTTTTGGTTCCCAGTCTCTCCCTTCCATCCCCCTCCCCTTCGCTCACTCTTTCTTAGTCAACCGGATCTCATCAGCCAACGGAGAGAACTTCAAGGCAACGCCCGTACATTTTTTTCAAGTTCAAGTTCGCCGGGTCTGCCTTAATCGACCACCACCACGCTCGTTTGCTCAAGATCATGGATCGATCGATCCCTTTCTCGAGATACGATCATTAATACGTTGGACGCCGCGACGATTCCGATTAGCCCGATCCGAGCCGAGCTAAAGTTCGTGTGCGTCGAACATCAAAATAAATGAATGCAACACAAAGGACTTATAAATCAAAGCGCAATTGTTTAAATTGTAATTGTATTTTTAATTTAATTAACTCGCATGCTTCGAAGAACCGCCGCTTAGTCTACAACAGTCTGTTTTTGTTCTATCGATTGCAACTAAATTTTGCCTTTATGATATTTTTATAAAACAAATGAAATTTTTATCATACGTGCGCTCATACTGTGTGTTTAATTGCTTCTTTGTTAATGAAACGTTTAAAATACAATTGATTGCGTCTATCGTTTAAATTAATGATAAGCATTACAGAGTATCATGCAATCAACGACCCGCCGCATTATATATGTTAATTGTAACATTGCTTTACCCGCGTGACATTAATTTGTCAGTTATGCTTATATTATGGACTTGTTTTTGCTTCTTGAATATGTTCAAGTCACGCAGATATCAATGCGGAAAGAAGTAAAATGGAAAAAGAGGGTTTCCGAAGTGAAATGTCAACCCTCTTTGCATGTGGTTTGGCATGCCAGATTTTGTTGCCTTTGACTTTTATCGATGAATGGAGAATTCGCGACTAGAGTGCGACTCGATTTCCGTTCGTTTCACGCTTGCATTGTTATATCGGTTTTCATTTTTCTTACGAAAATTTAATATTCGATTTTATTGTCAAACTGTTAAAAACAGAAATAGATTAAACAGAAGACATTAATAACATTTTATTTTCAAACTTCTGGTTTTTACACATACAAAATTATTAATTAAAAAAAATGCATTAAAAAATATGAAAAAATCTACAAAGAGAAACAAATAGGAATTCTTTCAAACAGCTTTACAATTTTTATATCAATTGACAATTAAGCATTTTATTATTTATAACGCATAAAGCCAAAGGAAAATCAAACGGGAGTAAAAGAAAGAGAGGCGAGTTTAAAAGGCGGATTAATAGAAACGAAAATGGGATTAATAAAAAGCCTAGTTGATCGCAAAGGTCACTAGAAAAATCGAAATAAAATTGCGTTCCCTTTTGCGTGACAACTGTTTGCGGTTGCAACCGATAAAACATGCCGAAGGCGAATTAATACCCTGTCGTTACATTAAAATTCCAAGGATAAACGGTTATTTCGATTATTTTCATCTCCCGCTTAAGTGAATAAAACTGTTGAGTCACAAACTGTGAAACGTGACAATTTTTATATGCCATTATAGTCGGGAGATGCATCATTTGATTTGTCAACTGAAGTGCACGCTTTTATATAACGTCTCGTGTTTTTTTAATAATACGGCACGATTGAAGAATCGTAGTATAAATAACGATCTGCAAGATGCCACAATCGGCGAGAGCGATCGAGGGAGAGGAATTTTGTAAAAGATATTAACCTATAAAAATCTCTTTCGTAATATATAATGATATGCACTAACAATCACAAGCAATAGAAATGCGGAATTAAAAACGCAGATAATTAAGAGTATAGTTTTTCAGTCTTTAAGTAATGCAATTTTATACATTTAAAACCTGACGTTTATTCTAGTCTATACTTTTAGAAATAGAAGATATATTTTTTAAATGTATATATCTTTATTCAGTACAACGTTCTGCGCGAATAAAAAAGATATTCTAAATATTTAACGCATCACAAATATCAAATGATGTGAGCGTTGCGAAAAGGAACCTTTTTATTATATCGAAAATCTCGACGTATTCTCAGAGGGTGCTTAACCCCGCAAACTATGCCCATCAGACCGACGACATGATAGCTTGCGCCTATAAAGTTCATAGGTGAACGTTCGAAGAACGGCGTTTATTGGAAGTTCCGAACTAAAGCTAGGCTGTTTCAATCAAATCGATATGTACGATACAGGCGTGGGTGCATATCAAATGCCTTCACCTATAACCCTGTATTGCGTCGTAAAAAAACTCCGAAAGCCACCTTCTAGGTAATAATACATAAAATGTCACGCTTCTTTTTTCGCGCATTATTTTTTAACGACAGATTCTTTCATCAATTTGTGTATATTTTCTTAGCAAACACACTTTGCCAGAAAAAAGCTCATTATCGCTACTTTGCAACCGCTCTCATCATCTCTATCAATGTTTTAAATTCATATTCTGTTAAGTAAAATCAACTGTAAAGTTAACTGAAACACATCCAAATGTCAAATGTTTAGCATCCAAATGTCAAGTGGATTAAATATTTGTCTCAAATTTTACTAATTAATTACATCTAATCCCCGTAATTCTCTTTAAGAAATTTATTCGTGAAATTTAATATTCCGTTCGCAAAATGAGGTTTGCTTTGAATGCTGATATTATTTGACAATCATTTACGAGTACAGATGAGTTAGGTATACTCTGTAACATACAACAGGTTTACTTGTCGAGAATCTCTTGTGGCGTGTATTCAAAGATTCGCTGGTATTCCAAGACAGAAAAGGAGAGCAGTCCGACCACGCCTGGTCACCACGGACAACCTTGAGGGATCATCACGGCCTACTCTTCTCCCCGCAGCCCCGTGTTAATGCACGGTTTCTTTAACAAAGTTCCATTGGTCGGCTGCCGCCCGAATAAAGAAAGAAGCGGAAAAAGAAGAAATCTCTCTTGCGGCGTAGTGCGCGCGTGTTCCCGTGACAAGGCGACGCCCTCCACGAAGGCGCGCTAAGGAGGTGCAAAAGGGGGGCTGGAGGGAGGCAGGGATGGCGAGAGAGTAAAGTGGCTCGGTGTATCCGGCATACAGGGATTCCTTGCTCCTATATAAGACGCGGTACGTTGTATTTTGGCGTATTATCGTGACTGACTGCACAAGCCAGACGAACACACGAGCTTCAAGATGTTCAAGTTGGTAAGTCAACTATGATCTCGGAAGAGATCAACGTCTATCCATTTATCATTCGCGATATCTCTATTATTCATGTACATACTTGTCTCACATCTCGAAAATGTGCTTCATCGTGAGTCTTCGCGTACTAAAGTCCACTTTGAATAATCTATAATTCCGGACAGAGATGGAATTTTACTTATATAATTTTATGTACCATGTAATACGAGAAATATTTTTGAAAAATTAGAATAAACAAAATGTATATCAGTGATAGGTGTTTTGTATGTATGCATTTTGATTTTTCAAATGTTTCTTTGTTACATAAAATTATTGATAGACATGATTCTGTGTAAATATAATATAGATTCTGTGTATTTTTTCTACTCTGTAAGAATGCATCGTGTGTCTTAAAGGATTTTATTCCAGAGTTAAATAAAATATCTATCTATTTATATATCTCTGATAGAGAATTGTGTGTTCGCTAGTCGTATCTATTTTTCGACGCAAAGTATAACTTGGGAAAAGCGCGCGATAAGTTTGTTCAAATTTATCGTACTTGTGTTATTTAACATCTGGCATTTTTTTCAATTTAGCGATAAGTTGAAAAATACGGAGATATATCTTTACGAGGGTACGTATTGAGTATTCTTAATTTCTATTTGTAAAATACAAGCAATCTTTGCTTCGTAGATTTGCTCATTTTTGCGAAAGCAGGCTTTTAGAAGCAAGCAAGAGTTCTATGTATTAAAAAGCATAATATGTTCTTTGTCTCAATTGTTTAAGTATAAAAAAAATATATATAAAATATAAAAAAGTAAAAATCCAAGAGAAAACAAATTCAATATTGATTATGTTAAAACTCGAATAAATTACAAACCCGAAACGCATTTCACAGATTTCATCGTTTTCATTTTTTATAAAGCAGAAATCATTAATATTTTTAATCGCAAGCAATTCAATTTTTGAGATTCTCTAATATTTATTTTTTAATAATATTCCTAAAACGTTGAATAAAATTTTAATATTTTTTAGAAAATTATTAGAGAAATTTTCAGGCCATCATCGATAGTCAATTTAAATTTATTGCAATGATCTTTCTTTGAGTTTCTGTAAATCTGTATTGTCAAGCCATGTATTTAAGAGGTTAAATGGCTATTATTGTCATTGTTACTAATATGATGGAAATATTTTTGTTACAGCTTTGCTTTATCGCTTGCTTGGCGTTCGCTGCTGCCGCGCCCGCACCCGCGCCCGCACCCGCCCCAGCCCCCGGTGCGATCATCGGCGCCCCGCTTGTGACATCCTACAGTGCACCCATTGTCTCCGCACCATTGGCTTACAACGCTTACAGCTTGCCGACTTACAGCGCGTACTCGGCGATCCCGGCTCTACCGTACGCGTATAAAAGTTACGCTTACATCGCCTAATCGGCACCATCGCAGGAAGACCAGGCATATCCAGAGATCAAGGACCAATTTCCATGGACACTTCATCAATTAATTAATCGATCTGCGCCGCCGCAAAATCTTTCCCAAAAAATCAATCACCGATTCCCTCGCGGTTTACCCTCTTCATTCCCCTTCTTCTTTTTCACCATCCATTCGGATAACTCCACATTCGCATAAGATTTAGAATGAATAAAGCTGCTTTAAAGCATTCTATGCGTTTCTTACTTGATCACACCTTTCATCTAAGTTCTATTTGTTATATGATAACACGGTTAAAAAACTGTTTTCGTTTTGTATATGTATTATCGTTTAATTCAAAGTCAGTTAAAATTAGAATTAATTAGTCAAAACTAGTAGTATTACGTAAGTATTACATAATGCCTGTTTTATCAAAAATTTATCGATTATAATTTATTGGTATTTGAAATAGAAATAAAATGGGATTACTAGGTAATTTAAAACAGAATAAATAAATAATTTTAAAGTATCTTAAATCTTTATTAAAAAAGAAAATATGCAAATATAGGGTTCATTATTAGGGTTTAGTTCTAACCGAGAAACAAACAATAAATTATAGTTTCAACTAATAACAATAAATTTAATTTAATTCCAACTAGTTTTAACTACAGGCATTAGATGATACTTATTTTGATCAGTTAATTCTAGTGTTAATTGATTTCGGATTCTAATGGTAACACATATACAACATCTAGATTCATTGGATTCGTTAAATTTATTTTCGAAAAAGAATTGAATTTTTGAATTTATAATACCGAGAAACGTGTTAAACGTTTGTGCACTTTTAAAATAAAATATTAATTTTATTAAGACTTGACCTAATCGGTTCAATCACAGAGACATAGGCGTCAGATAGATGCGTGGGCTGGCGCGTATTGTAATATTGTCGAATATATAGTGCGCGCGTATTGTAAAGGATCATTGATGACGTATAAGAACGCGTCACTGCGGCTTACATCAATGCATTATTTCGAGAAGTCCTTTGAGATAGCTCACACATGTGGAGCAAAATCGAATAGACGGAAATAAAGTTGTCGAGCTATATAACACATGTACGGTAAATACGATGAGTTAATAGACTTCAAAGACTTCATTCAGTTTGAGATGTAATATAAATTCATAAATACAAATGCCCAAAGGAAAGATACGTGATATTATATACTATCTCTCATAATATATATGTTACACAAAGGATGTATCATAATACGGTGTATAATCGAAAATTTTTTTCTTGTATCAAAAGAAAATAAAATCAGATCATTATTCCGCAATTGATTACTGCATGTATTAATATATACGCAGTTAAAGCTTCAACTGCTCGAACAAAGTTTTCGTAATGTTACTACATTGTATAAAAGTGTCGAAACTACTCTGCTTTCATACATTTCGCACACTGAATTGCAAATACGACAAGCGAAATTAAATTATATCAGATGACGCTGAATTGTACTACGGGGGGTAATGTTGCGAATCGGAACGAATAAAAGTCTCCGTACTGTTCAATGTCAAGAAAACTAATTAATTCAACAAAAAGATTATGGAAATACGAATAAATAAGGTCATACTTTTTTATTCACTCGTGAGACAAAGTCACCTCTGACCGGCGCAATATAATTCTATTTTATAATACTCGTTAACGATAATGTGTTGCAAAAGAACTGTTACGACGTGCAATTGTTGTAACTGTTGTCATGTTTTGTTATTATTTTATAAATATGATTATATAAGGATCGGGCGTAGACGTAGCACCAACATTAATCGTTTCATTCATGCTGCTCAAGCGTTCACGAGCGTTCTTCAAGACTAATTGGCGTGTACGGCGCATAATGTTAATCGGAGGTCATTCGAAGATTCACAGAATGTGAAACGCGCAATTCCCCAATTTATTTTGTCGAAGATGAATTTAAATTAGCGAAACAATGCAATACTCGTATAATTGAAAAAAAAAACCTTGAATGTTAAGACAAAGAAGAAAAAGATTTAGAAGATGTCTAAAGCAAAAATGAACGGATTTTGTAATTTGTGTGAGATAATTATGTGAAAATTACAAATTGTATTTATAGAATAATTAAATAAGAATAATGAAATATTCAAATATTTATATATGAAAAATATGTCAATGATTAGAATTATTAACTTGGGTCATTGTTTTGAATGTCGTCACGTATGTTAGCTGAAGTTTCATTAGCGCAAAAAGAAAAACAAAAAAAAAACGTTTGTTTACGCTTTCCTCGTGTACTAATACATGCAAATCTAAAGCCAATCTCACAATGTGTCGGTGGGAACATACGCTAATTTAGCGTTACATAACAAAGCAGAGTGTTCTAATAATTGGCTTTTATGACGAAGCATTCCGAACGACCCAAGCATCTAATTAACATAATAACATTCAGTTAACATAACAATTAACTTGCTAAAGCATTGACCTATTATTGCGGATTGCGACTGGCAGCCACAACGGAAAGGACATTTGATGGTCGAAAGATTTATCTGTAAAGATTTTCGCAAGTAAACACAGAAATTCTATATCAAGAGTACAATTATGCAAGATTCTGAGTAAATTACAAAAATATGGGAAGCTTCGATTAATTATATATTGTGCAACTATTAAAGTTTATCTTTACAAATAACACTAACAAATTACAGATATTTTGGACACACTTCATTCAATCCTTCGTTAAAGATTATTTTATAATAAACGTTGTCGTAAATTATTTCGAAACATGTGCGTTATATCATTTCTGTAATAATAAATACATGTGCAAATGTGCTTTGTGTACAAATATACATAATAGATCCTGTTACGCTTACGTTCTGTTATGCATCGTTGTTTTAATTAATCCAATTTATTACGCATAGACAAGATTTGCTATTCTTGGAACGTGAATACTTTACATAATTCACGTCATATAAGCAAAACATAATAATATACATAATCGTAACGTAATAGTTACAATTACGAGAGCGGTTTTATAAATCTTGCAATAAACAATAAAGACAAGATTTTCAAAACTATTGTTAAGTCTTGCTACATGACGCATGAAACTTTTAATCCTTTCGGTACGGAAAACATATGCAATTCAAAGGCACATTCTGCAGCTGCAAAGCGTATAAATACGATGTCTAAACGATATTCGTTGCGATTACGAGACTGTGTCTCAAGAGACACGGTTGTGTTTGACATTAAATCACGTATAATAAGTCTATTCTATTCTAACCTATAAATTCGGCGCGCCGGCTGATAGCAACTGTTTTATATTTTTATAATCCATAACGAAAGGGTTACATGTCCATCTTTGTAATTAAATAACAATATTTTGTAAATCACTTACTTGAGATAAACGATTCTGGACTAATAAAGAGTAATCTCAGTTTTCAGATGACACTTTTTTCCACTTTTCTATCGACTCTGATCAACGGTCGAGCATCGACTGCACTTTCCGAGTGATCCCGACCTGTAGATCGAAGTCAACCGAAGATAGAGTCATGTGTTTACGCAGGTCAGTGCTCTACGAAGTCCCAACTTTCCCTATTATTGATCAGCTGATCATCTGATCTGTGCAATATTACATAATGCGCGCACATGTATGCATGCATACACTCGTAAATGGTGCGCTCGTGCTGGATTTTTGGAACGTTATAACTCGGCGAAATATTGACGTAGCGACATGCAACAAAAATAAATCTTCTGTGCTTTGCGTCTCGCAGATGTTTGATATATGCTCTCATCATGACATGTACGTATACTTATGTAAATAAAATATAAAACGGTAGACTATAAAATGTAGAAAGGTTTACTGCACTTAATTATTTGTAAATACGAAGAAGAGGTAAAAAGTAACCTTAATATGGCAATAAAAAGGGAAATGTTAAGGTTATATTAAGGTAACCTTTAAATATTAAGGTTACTTTTTGGCTTTCCCTTGTGATATTTATGCTTAATTTGCCGAAGTTAAATTCAGTGACCCAAGAGTTTTTTTTAGATAATAACATTAATATGTAGATATCTGAATATTTCTGTGTTTTGCTATGCAGCCAATAAATGCTAAATTTATTTTTACATTAAATAAAAATGTTAGATAGTAAATTGATTATTTCCACGTAAGATAAAGTGAGATAAATTACGTAGTGGTGTGAAATGAAGATATCAAGAAATTCCACACGTAAGATCAATGTATCGCGCGAGTATATATATATAATGAATAAGATATAAGTAAAGTTTTTAACTACTCTCTCATTTACGCCGACGTCTCCAGATAGTAGTTTAATAATCGAAAATTTATTATTAATAAAATAACTTATCTTTTTACACGTTCGGTAGTACTTTTCGATTTCATTCGCTGATTACTTATTTCTAGTTATCGTATTATTCCAAAATCGTAAATTTGTTGCTTTCTACAATATCATCTTTCTTCTTGCTTATAAGAATTTGTTTGAATGTTTTTAAAATCTTGCTTTATGTGCAAACAATAACATGAATTTAATAGCTTGCTTGTATAATGAAGTTCTTCCACAAAGAAGACATAACTACTTAATCTCAATTGCGTGTTTACAACAGTTCGTCAATCTATTCTTTGAGAAATCGAGTCATTTTCGATAAATATGTGTCAGACGCAGAAAAATCTAAAACAGTAACGACAGTAAAAATGGAAAAAAGTATTCGAAAGAATTTTACACATTAGTTTTAAAAAAATTTTGGTTGCAGAAAATGCTAATCATGTGACGCATTTTACGTGAACAATAATTATGTGCACAGTATATACAATACAAAGAATGTAATTTACAAACTAAAAAATTGTGTATCTTAAAAATGATTAATTTGCGATTCTATTTATATAGATTTTATTTATTTAATTTAAAGATTTTTATTTAAGATTTTTTTGTGACTTCTATTAGCGGGTTGAATTTTATATTAATTTTGTAAACCGCGGTTTTACAACATTTTAAATGCAATTAATATTAAAAATTCTTCTGCGTCGTGATTACCACATAATGCTTAACAATGCCTATTAACAAAGCTGATTAATTGATTAATGTAATAGGGATAGGAAATAGCCTGGATATTAGATCCCTATTATTTTTCGAAGGGAAAAGGGAGAAGAGAGTGATTGGTTCGAGAGAATGATAATCAAGTTTGATTATATAATAGAATTCTGCTACAATTGTACAATTGATATAATTGTATAACAGATAAAGTGTTTATGTCAATTGTACTCTTCGTTATGCAAGAATAAGTTCTCCAACAATAATCTTTTCTGTCGTTACGCGAATGCAAGCATGTCGTCCTTTGGCGTAATCAATTGCGCGAAAGTAGTCCTTGTGAGGAATGCGAGAGATAAACAATTACAATATGTACACAACGAGACATTACAACATTATGTATCATAATTAATTATATTTGATAATAAATTTTGTTTGCAATATATTTAAAAAAATTTTTATTTAATGACAAATCTTATCTCATCACTCACGATTGTATTAACAATATTTTTGCACTTGGCATCGCACAATTGCGTATTTATCTTCTCCTTTGATCTAGATACAACATTAGAGAAAATCAAAAAATAATGAAATGTATTTGTTTATTTCCAAATTAATTGAAAATGTTTATTTACTTTTTTACTTTTCTTCACTATATATATAATTATAGGTATTTTGTTAAATGACTATCTATATCAGATTACTTCAATTAACTTCAATCAAATAACTATCTTCTTACTTTAAGTCAGATAACAAGATTGGTAGCGGTGGTAGACCAGCATCCCATATCATGTTACTTGCCGCGTGTTAATTCCGCGTGAATGCTATAGAAAAAAATCGTCACGCGTCATCACGTTCTCATCCACGTGCACTGTATTTATACAGTGAAATACGTCCTTATCCAAATAGGATTAAAATCTCTGTTCCGATTTTCGTATGCATAATAGATTCTGGGCACAGAAATAGGAAAAATTAAAATCGGAATTCTCATTAATAAATACTTATATATAATATATCACTATTAATAGAATATCTCGGAATATTTGTTTGACCTCCCGAATTCGGCGAAAAGCTGCTCTGGATCACTAAATACTTTTTGAAAAATAATGATTATATAGAAAGACGAGTTATTGTGTAAATTTTTGTAATATTTGTGTTTTTTATAATGACTTTTTGACAAATTTTTAGTTCAAACAAAAGACATTTTTTTGTTTGCTAATTCTTAAATTCTTCATCAATTTTTCTCAAGCGAATGTTTAATCGTTACAAGAACCATTATCTGACATAGCGTTTATCAGAGCTAACTTCTTTCGAATAATCCCCTCAGTTCACAAGCGATACAAGTGTTTTCGGCTAGTGACTGAATAATCGTAGCGCTATGTGCACCTATTGATTCTCCAAAATGCAGTCTCTCGTGGGTGCAACCACCCCTTGTCATCGATCGGTGGGGTTCAATGACCGCGGTGTAACTAGTTTCCAAGATCTGTACTGCAAGAGCGGAGAGTAAAAAAAAGAAAAAGAGAATGAGCAGTAGGCATGAGGAGTGGAGAGAGCGCAACATCCCAATACCAGTACCAAATTAACATCATATTTCTGGATATCGGTTACGGGATCGCCGCAATTGGATTGGGTATCTGATCGCCGCAATTGTTATTCTTGCGGTGTATAATCAGAATTCTGTAATATTAAATCGAGCGCGATTGTATGTGATGTATAATTATAGCATATGATCGATAGCACTGTCATAAGTGAATTAATCGATTATTTATGAAATTTATGAAATGAAACGGCGCAAAAAGAATTCTTATCTTTATAAGTATACATATAATATTGATAATCAGAAATTTCATGAAAATATTAAGGAAAAAAGAGATCTTCCTAAAAATTAGAAAATATTGATTTAGAAAAATTATGCATTCTGAACAAATGTATTGATAATGAAGGTTTTTGGCAGCCAAAAAATTAAAAAAAATCTGAAATTATTTCACTAAAATGTACACATTAATTTAATCATATATTTATTTTTTTTTATTTTAACGAAAAGATAGTTTTAATTTTTAATTACTTTGATAATATTTTATCTTATTCGCATTATTATTATATATTGTTGTCTCATTTGCATCCGATCGGCGAATAATTCATAGAATTTTCAGGACCAGCTTCTTGGAAATAAACAAGTCCGCAATTCTGTTATAGCACAGCTCAAATAGCGATCTTACAATCGGCAAACATATATTTTTTCTATTGTGTACAGCTTCTTATGTTTTTTTTTTTTAACATTGATCTGTTTGATATCTTCTTTCAAGAGGGTATAGGTATCCCTCACGTGGATGCTGAGGCATGCGCCGGCGTTCCCGCGTTCACCTGCGAGGGTATAAAAGATCGCGCGACGAGCGCATCTGGCTCAGTTGCGAGCCTCGTAAGCAAGGTATTATCGTCCTACCCAAGCAAGAAGGGTGCGATCTACAAGCAATCGATCGATCATTTTAATTATCGTCTCAGGAATCATCGATCAATTGATCGAACGAGAGATTAATACAGCCGATACAGTGTGCAAAGTTCGTGGAAACACCGCTGGTAACAAGTGTTTTTGCGTGGAAATCCGTCACTCGAGCGAGGATACAGGCACATCGTGAAATCGTATACGAATTCTGCCTTATCCTTTTCCTGGATTGTTTCCGAATTTCTTCACGTGGAAAGTAAGTGAAACTTTTCGAGTGAAACAAGTCATTGGATGTCCAACGACATGGAAGACTCCGCGCGGCTGACCGATCTAAGCGATCACCGTCAGCATCATCATCATCGCGCTCGCACACACGACAACGATGACGAATGTAGCACTGACAGCGGATGCAGTAGCGGCGGCAGCAACAGCAGCACCGGAAGCGGTCTCTCGCGTCGCAACAGCGGCGAACGCCTGTGCCGATCCGGTTGTGCACCGAGGATGCTGGAGCAGCGGTTGCGTGGACGATCGACGCGGTCGCAGGAGCGACTCGACGGCAGCAGATCGTCCGAGCGTACCTGGAGTCCGCCCGAAGACGCGAGGAGTCGCGGCGGCGTTTCACCCTCGTCGTATTCCTCGAGTCCGTCAGAAGCGCACAGCAGCAACGACAGCGACTTCTTGAAGAGGCCGTCGTCCACCGCGGAGACGCTGCGACGGGCGTTTCAGAGCCTGAAGCTCGCTTCGTCCAAGTGGGAAGGCGGCAGCAAGGACAGCAAGAAGCACGCGAAGAAGAGTCCCAAGAGGATCCTGCGTAGCCCGGTGCCGTACGTGTACGTACGCGGACCGTCCGGTCTGCCAACGCAGAGGGTTCCGCGGAACTCTGCCCTTCAGCATCAAATGATACATCCCTACTCTTGCCAGGATCTAATTGGGCTGTATCGATAGATCAATCGAACTGGCTCGAAGAGCAGCGTAAATTTTCGTTCGCCAGGACCAAGACACTCCCTGCCAGGGAGAAAAGTTACGTTAAGAATAATAGGATAAGGATAGATCTCAATCTCGATCGTCGTACCGGCGTTAAAATATTCTCGTTTCGACGGTTTTTACGAAATTCGCGTGCGAATCGCGGGATCGTTATATCTTCCGAAATACTATTTTATGGATTTCCTCCTCCGCTTTCTCACTCGCCGTTCATTCAGCTACACAATTACGCGATTCCTGCCGGAGCCTACTCGGTCGGATTCTCCTTCCTCAAAGTAGTATGAGTCAGGTATAACGCCGGATCGACACGCGAACTCGTTCAAACGCGGTCGACCGATGAGAAAGGAGAAAATAATGAATTCAAAAGGCGATAATTAGATTAAATATATGCAACGATCATGTTAAACATAGATGATCCTCGATACACGGAAAAAGCAGATTTTCATTAAAAATTCATTTATCTTCTATTAAAAATGGTAGCTCGAACACCAGTGCGCTATCGAAGAATAGACGAACGCCCAGTTCCTTGAATTATTCTCTAAATTATTAATTAGTTCCGAATTGGAGAGAAATATCGAGCTTCCATGTATTCAGGATCATCCGTACGGCAGTTTCTAATACTTTTGCAACGTACAACCTTTTTACTCAAATCTCCTTCATATCGATCGTCGTAGAGTGTTTAGGGCTGAAATACTTCTCAATATATATGCACACCAATAATCACAATCTCGCAAAATTCATCTAGATACTTTCCTCAAGTCTGAATAAATCTTCGGCAATTAAATATACAGGATTGTGTTTAGCATGCGATATACGTACAGACTGATAGATTTAATATTACATTACTCTGTCATTTACATTAGTAAATCTACATAGGATTTTATCAATTTACATCACTATCTTTATTGTATCTTTCACTAGTAAAAGTTTACTCGAAAATTGCTCCAAGTTGAATGAATCTTTAACGCGGAGAGTTGTCACATAATAATAATAAGAATGATATCATAAAGGTATTGTATTGTTTAATACGCGAGAAAATTGCAACTGCCTTTCAGGTGCATTCTAACGGGTCTCCCGTTTCAAGGTTTAAATTAATGTTGCGGCGAGGATTGACGTAGGCACCTGAAGGTCGCGCGAACGATTGACAATTATTTCACGTTTGCACTTCTCGTCCGTTCATTCATCGTGCTGTTACGTCGTGATGTGACGGCACCACTATGCTTTTATCGGCGCTAACAATGAAAGACGCGGTTCGTTACAATCGCGCGATAGAAGTCAATTATATCGACGCATATAGATCGCAGATCTCTAACACCAAGTGGTTTCGAGTACATTTATGTGTAAACATAAAGAAAATCGAACAACAGTAAGCAACTCTTAACGAATCTCATTAAGAATAATTTATAAATATACATTTTTTTATCTTACCTTTAAATCATAGTGATATCGTTTTCCTCTTTGTTCACTCTATATCACATTCTATTCGAGTCAATTTCACTTGAAATGCATTATTCAATTAATAGCGCAATTGAGTAATTCAATAGTTAATAAATAAAAATTAACGTCTCAAAATTATTTCAGATCTAAGATAAAAAAAGTGGTTCTTAACATTTCCACGTGGTAGTTGCGGATTATACTGTACAGAAAGAACTAATCTCCCGTGTAAAAATATCGTTTACGGAGAGTTGTTATTCCGCGCAATCCATTGCGACTGTGCGAATAAGAAATCGTTCATTCATATAGTACAGTATTAAAGCGCAAGAATCGAGATTATTGTATCTACGTAGAAGATATGTACATACGTTGTAAGAATAAGAATCGCGGCGGATCTCACGTTATCCTTCGTGGAAAATTATAAGCGAAGCATATCGGTATTTCGAACTTGACTCATCATTTCGCAAATATCCATAGCTTTCAAACGTATTAACGAGCCAAGGTAACTTCGAAGCTACAATTAGAAGAAATAATATGTGTGATTTAAATTTTATATATGATTCGATATATTGCTAAATGTATTTAAAAAAAACTTTTAATTAGATTTAGAAAAGTTAAGTTTTGCATTCGGAATTTTAATTTACTTAGAAATTATTTCACTCGGATCACACGTTTGTTTTCAGCGTAATTAGATTGGAAATAATTGATTATTACAAATTTTTTTCTGAAAACTATTGTAAATTGATACCGAGAACGCGATATGAACCGAGTGGCTTGTTAATATTCATCATGATTATTTCTTTCGTTACATAAGAGCGACGGAGAACTGATTAATTAATGCCTGATTAACCTTACGCGTGGCGAGATTGGCCACTGATGTAATCGCTTTGTGCGATTATTATTATTATTATCATAAAAAATATGCGACAATTGCGCGCCGAAAAAATTCTTCGCAACTGGCAAAGACTGACTTAAAAAAATGGACAAAATAGAAAAAGATAAAAAAAAAAAATGAAAAGTCATACTTGCAAGAGTTCGCGATTGTGAGAGAAGAAAAAGGATGCGACGAATGAAATCTGTAAAGAACGTTTGTGCGATTCATCTCTAGTGCCTTGTAGATACTCCCTATACGATTAGATGTTATCAATTGGCGAAAATATGAGAGAGAGAGAGAGAAAGAAGCGTTAGGGAGAGAGAGAAAGGGACAGAACCATATCTACCACTCGGGCTGTCATTGTTACGTAAACGTATAAGTACGATGATGTAACTGCGTATAATAATCGTCTGGTGAGAATGATACGATAGAAAAAAAAAAGGATGGATATTGATTACTCAGGATTGGATGTTTTGTATCGTTTTGTCTATGTCGACATAATTTAAGTCTGAAATAAACGTTTTCCATTCTAACAATTTTCTTCTTTTTTACACCCTTCATCGCAATACAACAATTATGGATAAAGAGAATTTTGGAGTTTATCTACTATATATTTATTTCTATTATGATATTATATGTTTTAATTAAAGCGATTTTTTTCTCTTACAAAAGTAGACTTCCGAATTGCGAATAAAATTCTTCAAACATGTTTTATTTCATTTTATATGTTTTTTATTGTTTACATGTAGAATTATATATTATTAATTATAAGTAAAACATCTCTTATCTACGTATACCATAAAGAATTATGAAAAGATATTTTAAGATTCATATGATTACGTTGTATTTTCACGGATAAGCGTATTTTCCGAATATTGCTAAAAATATCTTTACTTTGCTACTAATTGTATTATTCAATCAAACTGCTTTAGATTGAGATATTTGTTACAGGTCATTTCATCCAATTATAATGAAATTGTAATAAAAACTCACACAGAATATGATGACAGAAATATAATTCAAAGAAATATCAACATTTAGAAAAATGAAATGCCATGACTGTTAAAAATAAATCGACGAAATAATAGAGACAATAATTCAATTAATAAAGTTTACAAGAAAATGATTACAGCTACCAGGAATAAAAAAATGTTTAAACTTTTACTATTCTTTTATAATTACTTGTAGTTATGTATTTTTTATGATGTGAATTATCGTAGAAAGAAGTTCAGGAAAATATTAAAGTACGAATATTATTTCGTACGATATAGTCAGGTCGGGTCATCTTGCATCGTCTATCCTTCATTCATATCCTCGACACGCGGGTGGGGGTCACATCCTTGCTCGAAGGACACGAATGGCGTGCGTTAAACGGAAGCCTACGTAAGCGTTCGTTGGAAAATCGAGGGTTGCAGTGTTCTCTAATGGGAGATACTATTCTCTGTGGGAGGAAAGGGGGGGGGGAAACGAAAGAAAGAGAGAGAGAAGAGAGAGAGGAGAGAGAGAGAGAGAGAGAGAGAGAGAGAGAGAGAGAGAGAGAGAGAGAGAGAGAGAGAGAG